TTTTTTTTTTTTTTTTTTTTTTTTTTTTTGCGCTGGGACTGCCCGGAACCCTGCCCGGGGGTCATGCCCGGGCGGGTATCCGGGCACAAGTTGGGTGTCCGGGCGCCCGGAAAAACAACCTAGATTTGGACCCTAAAAAAAATAAAAATAAAAAATAAAAAAAAGATATGATCAACGAGCTGACTGACCCCATGTAATTCAGAACTACATGACTCCGTTCATCCAGTTGCAGCGGCATTCCAACATGGATCTGTATTTGAACAGTTCGTACATGTACCAATCGGAGCTAGGCCCATCTGTCGAGCGGGACTTTCAGGATTCAGCAAAATAAGGCCACCACAAGTTTTACCAGAATGGGACCAAGGTAACTGTTAGCAACATGGAACCAGCAAAACTTCTTACGAAAATGGTACCACGGTAAATTTTGTGAAAATGGGACCATGCCACCATGGTAACCTTTGGCCAAGGAAGACCACCGTAACTTCTACTGAAATGGGACCACAGTGACTCTTACCATAACGGGACCATGGTAAATTTTACGAAAATTGGTTGGTCCAGGGTAACTTTTACCAAAATGGGACCATGGTAGCTTTTGGCAATACATACGGTAACCTTCTTTTGTCAGCAGTGAAAAGAGTCGTATCAGCTATCATCAACATTATTGTACAAGTACTGGCGCCTCCAGCCATTGCGGTCCGGTAGGCCGAAGCCCATCAGTCACGGCACATTAACGGGAAACGCCCGCGGCCGGTGTATGGGCCAAGTACTGGTGGTTTAAGGCAGCAAATGCACAAGGTAACGTGCGTAATGCACAAGAAAAAAAAAGGTAGCAAATGCACAAGGTAACGAGCGTACAGGGGAGAGAGAAATTCCACAACCAAAAAGGGGAAGTAACTTAATAAGGTCGGTCGTACTTTGCTCTAAGAGTCGTATCAGCTATCGTCAACATTATTGTACAAGGACTACGGTAGAAAATGCACAAGGTAACGACTAACGAGCATAAAGGGGGGGGAGAAATTTCAAAAGCAAAAGGGAGAATTAACTTAAGGTCAGTGACTGTCGTACTTTGTTCTCTTTGGCGTGCGTGAGAGACTGAGTTCAGCGCCGTATGGGCTTGTATGTTGGCGTCTTTCCTCATGCCTGGGCTGATGGGTCGGTCAGTCGTGCTATCATCAAATGCACAAGGTGATGAGTCCATAAGGGAGAGAGAAAGTCAAACAGCAAAAGAGAGGAGGAGGGGCGGGGGGGAATATTAATGAAAAAAGATGTGAACACGGGCACCTGCAAACTCGAGCTGCAACTTGTGTTGCTGGCTCCTTCACCGTAACTTCTAGTCAGGAGGGGAAAAAAGGAAAAATGCAAAAATACTAAAATAGAAAAAAAATAGAAAAAAATAGACAAAATTGTAAAATAAACTAAAATAGACTAAAAATAGAAAATCCCTGCAGCTTTCTAACGAGCAAACGCATGCAATCTGATGTCAGTGAATGACCAATGAATGCAGATTTCTAGTGGGAAAATACAAAATGCAAGCTTAATAAGTCAAAAAAAGAAAAGGTTAATAACCTACAGTAATGTTGTTCAAAAGAACAAAAGAGAAACAAAAAAAGAAGGGGGAAAAAAAAAAAAAAAACGCTCTTCGCCGTACCTCCCTATTATCCCTAACGATGAATGCGAAAGTTACTTGCTGCAGCGGAGGGGATGCTCACGCTACCAGTTAGGTTTCCTGGATGTATCTGACTTCATTTACGTCCAGAATCTTCAGGAAAAGTCCCATCTGACTGCATTTACGCGTCGAAGACTCAGCGTTTTAAATGCCGCACAACAAAATCCCTATCTATGTTTGATCTCGATCCCGATCTCAATCGTGACCCTGATCCCGATCCTGATCCTGATCCTGATCGTGATCACGGCTAGAATGATGGCTAGAGAGTCGAAAAAATCATGGCTGTCTTCTTCAGACAGGCTCTTTGATGATAATGACAATGACAATGGTGATGATGACAACAACAAAAAATGGCCGATCGCTCTTAGATAAGCCACTGGCAAATCATGGTTGCCACCTTCGGACAATGACAATGGTGATGATGACAACAACAAAAATGGCCGATTGCTCTTGTGATGATGATGATGATAAGCACAATTTAGATGGTCGATCATTTAAGGGAA